TTAAACGTTAGAGCATATACTACAGACATAAGAGAACAATGTAATTTACTTTTTAAGCTTTTTAATGAAAGTTTAAAATTTGACAAGTAACCGGGGACCACAGATAATGGCTTATTGAGACTCCTTCTTTGCTAAGAATTCTTCAATCATAAATCTGCAACATATTACCATTATTTAAATGTCAAAAAATGTATAGCAATATGAATAATACATAGAAAAGCATATATTAAGGTTAAAAGTCTGAAATCTCGTTAGTGATTGACTTCCGGAAACAAAGTGACTTGCGCGGGATATTTTAGATTTTACAGAGCTGTTCCTTAGTTACAACCTCAGACGTAGCAACGGATCCAGCCAAAATGCGAATTTAGAGGCTGAGCAATCATTGTTTAACAGAGGCCCACTCTCTTTCATGTGTTTTGAGGATGCCTACCCGCAAATTGCCTGGGAGAGGGCAAGGGAACGAAAGAGAGTAAGTTTTCAAACATTGTTAATTATTACCAATTAATAACACCATAATGATAAATTTCATTTGTTCATTTGTAGCTATCGTTGACTGTTATACTGTTTAAACCTTAGATATATTAGATCTGATAGATATAGGTCTTAGCTGCAGATATGTAGGGTTATGGTTTTAAAAATTTGTCTTTGACCATCATGGTCAAAGACAAATAATTATATATAAAACCATAAAGCTACAGATCTACAGCTATATAGGTCTAACGTTATGCGTTAACTTAGAGTATTACACAGCATTTACGTAAGTTTAGCTACAGATTGTTCATACATGTCACAGATTTAATTGGATAAACTTAAGGTTTAAGTTGAAAGAATCTAGGCCTTGTGCGACAATTATTTTAATTTGCTACAGTGTGCTTAAAAATTTATAGATATATAAATACCTTATTTAAATTTCATAATCAGCACCTTGTGGATAGACTAGTAGATCAACAACATATGATCAAGTTACTTTTTAAGTCTGGTTAGCATGTGTCAGCTGTAAAGCTTTTGTACATATGTCAAGCTACAGTGTAACTTGTCTGTTGTTTATTGTGGTATTATTTTATACTGAAGTTGATTTCAATATATTTTTTGCTAAATTAACACTTTTCTTTATATCTAAACATGCAGCTTCAAAATGCAAAGATGTGTGCTGAACAAAGGAATGCAAAGTTGTGTGCCGAACCAGGGAATGCAAAGTTGTGTGCTGAACCAAGAAATCCAAAGTTGTATGCTGAACCAGGGAATGCAAAGTTGCATTCTGAACCAGGAAATGCACAGTTGTATTCTAAATCCAAAGTTGTGTGCTGAACAAGGGAATGCAAAGTTGTATGCTGAACCAGGGATTTCTAATCTCCCCATTACTAACTGAATAAAAGCTGTAAGCCAATGGGTGGCTCAGCATAATGGTGGTAAGTTTCTGTTAAATCTTTTACAACAGTACACCCAGTACAAAATATCTAAGATCTTTTTAAAACCGATTTTTTTAGGTCACCTGAGTAAACTCAGGTGACCTATTGCTATCTGTTGTTGTCCATCATCGTGCGTCGTGAGCCATGTGTTTAACATTTAATCAATTTTCAGCTTAATTTTTCTCTACAACCACTGAACCAATTTCAACCAATTTTGGCACAAAGCATTTATGGGTAAAGGGAAACAAAAATTGTGAATTTGATGGTCCCTGCCCCCCCCCCCCCCCCGGGGCCTGAGGGGTGGGGCCAAAACCACTAAAATTTGTGAAATGTTTGAAAATCTTCTTCTATGCTCCTGGACATCAAGCAGTCACACTGTTGGCATGATTTTAATCAGCATTTAGTCCTCTACCAAAGGTGTGAAATTCATGGCCCCAGGGTCAGGGGTTCTGGTGTTAGGGCGGGGCTCTATTAACTAAAATTATAGTGAAAATGCATAAATCCTTTAAAATATCTCCTTTTCGCTTAGATATTTAACCAACAAACAATGTACAGTGGAGCCTCATTTATCCGGACGCTTTGGTTCCCAGTTAATTTGTCCGGATATGTGAAGCGTCCGGATACCTGAATCACCAGTTAAACAAGACATAATAACATTTTAAATTTCTGTTCCAATGAAAAAGCATCCGGATACTGAAGCATCCGGATATCTGGCGTCCGGATATCTGAAGGTCCACTGTACATAGTTATGATAAGGAAGGATGCTTCTTCCCAATTTGTGAATTACATGGCCCTTGGGTCAGGGGTTCTGGTGTTAGGGCGGGGCTGGTTATGTAGTGAAAATGCATTAATTCTTTGAAAATCTTCTTCTCTGCTCCTGGGTATTAAACAAACAAACTAAGTACATGAGTTATGATGACCAAGAATGCCCCTTTTAAAATTGTTGATTACATGGCCCATGGGTGAGGGGTTCTGGTGCTAGGGTGGGGCTCTTTAATTGTGTATATAGTAAAAATATATTAATTCTTTAATAAATCTTCTTCTCTTCTCCTGGGTTTGAAATAAACTAACCAAGTACATGGTTATACATGTATTGAATAAGTCTACCTCTTCCAAAATCGTGAATTTCATGGCCCCAGGGTCAGGGGTTCTGGTGTTAGGGCGGGGGTCTAGGGTTGATTATATAGTGAAAATGCATAAATTCTTTTAAAATCTTCTCCTATGCTCCTGGGTATAAAACCAATGAGCTATGTACATAGTTATGATGAGGAAGGATGCTTCTTACCAATTTGTGAATTTCATGACCCCTAGGTCAGAGGTTCTGGTGTTAGGATTGGGCTCTATAATGATTATATTGTGAAAACGTGTGAATTCTTTGGAAATCTTTTCCTTTGCTCCTTGGTATAATGCCAATGATCTAAGTATATATTTATGATGAAGAAAGGTGCCTCTTCCAAATTAATTTCAGGGCCCCTGTGTTAGGGGGTGGGGGTGTTACATAGTCTGAAAATAAAGTAATACTTTGAAATCTTCTATTTGATATTTCTCTTTGATATTAATCACCCATTTTTGATGAAATGAAATTTATAAAATTTCCAAAATTTTGAAATATGTGGCCCAAGGTTCAGTGGTTCCTCTGGGTTGGTGTGCACACTGGGATATTTTGCATAACGGGCAAAGCCAGTTATGCTAAAATTATCCCAGGTTTCCCACTATTGTTGATGTCCCTGGCATACTCTTATAACTAGACAGTGATTCCTTATATTTCCATTTCATTGTGAAATAAAATTGTAGATTTAGACATTAAAAATGTAGACTAATAGATTTAAATTACATGAGGACTTCCATGCCAATATCAATAGTCCTCGCACACTGACGTCAAACACAAAGGCAGCCGCACGAGATTTACATGCATATTTGGCCTCCTTAGCATCAGACACAGAGACAGATGCGCACGAGATTTACATGCATATTAGGCCTCCTTAGCTGTTAACCTATCGACATGCCTAATTTACATTCCGACAGAATTATCAAGAAATAAATTCCCCCAACTTTCAAACAGTTATCACAGAGAAAAAAAAAATTAGAAATGGAAATATAACAACATTAACAGTAAAATAAAAATCATTTATTCATGAGATTTATATTAACTAATTCAAACATAACTATGCTGCTATTTTTCAGTCAATGCGGTTGGAAACCATTCAGGTAACAGCTCTAGATCTCCGACCCCACCTCCTTTGAGTTCGCAGTGGGACACGCCGCCAGTGGAATCAAGTCAAAACTTTTGGAAGCAACACCTTGTCCAGATCACATACTTCCCATTCTTCTGACTCTGTGGCAAGGAGCAGCATTACAAACAACAGCCACCCAGCTCCTGGAAGCAACACCTCATCTAAATCTTCCCATTCTTCTGACTCAGTGGCAAGGAGCAGCAACAACACCCCAGCTCCTCCTCTGGATCCTCCCCTGAGTTGTGGATCTAGCAGCTCATTTGTGACACCATCAAGCTCCAAAATCAAATATATGAACAATAAAGTGTCTCTGCCGCAAAGTTCAAATTCCAAAACAGGGTACAAGTCTCCTCCTGGCCCGGCCTCTCCTTCATCAAGTCACAGAAAGAGCCAGTCTGAAATTGAATCAACGAGATTCACTAAAGATCACGACCATCAGAATTATATTAAGTTAGGAAAGTACATCAGAGAAAAGTTCCATAACCAGCAAATATGTGATGTAGCCTTTAAGGTCGGGGACAAACTAATTCCTACCCATAAAATTGTATTGGCTTCACAAAGCCCACTCTTTGCTACTTTATTTGAAGAGAAGGCATTTCATTATGATGCAGCTACCCCTAAAATTATAAAAGTGCGGGGAGTGGCAGAAAAGTCAGTACTGGCATTTCTAGAGTTTTTATATTCTGGAACAATTGAGATCGAGCCAACCACCATTTCTGATCTCCTCAAACTTTCAAGTGCCTTTAAAGTCCATGATATTAAAAAACTGTGCATGAATCATATAACTCTTGCAAGTTATGAAGAATTGCTGAAAATTCTAACAATTGTCAAAAGCATCAAGGAAGAGGATTATTGCGAGAAAATCTTAAGTGTGATAGCAAAGAACTTTATCAAAGTGAAAGAGACTAGCTCCTTTTATGAATTAAATAAAGAGACACTATGCTTGATCCTGGAACAGGACTCATTAAACACAAAGTCAGAATTGGATGTTTTTACCTCCGTTATTTCGTGGATACAGCACCACGATTATGAAGTTACAATTCAATATTTTGAGGAACTCTTATTTTACGTCAGGTTCCCTCTTATGTCTCAAAAGGAGCTGTTCAGATGTTTTAAAATCTTTAAACCTTTACGTAATTACAAGAAAGTTGTTGAGATGATCGCTATGGCCAACTGGTCAGTATACTGGTAATTTACAATGAAATAATGAACATACTGTAATATTTAATCTACCTTTTCCAAGGGGTTATAATTTCATGGAATAACAATTTCTGTTCAGCTTTCTGATAAAATTTGTAACTAATTCATTTCTTAGATTGACTTAAGTTACATGTAAGATCATCACTTTAAGTATGCAGGGAAGGAATTCGGTGGAAAAAATCTCATTGAGTAAGTTTTTCCAATGCATAATACTGTAGATAATCCTTATTTTTCATGAGTACTTTTTATCGTGAATGGGCTCTTCAACAGCAAATCTCGAGAATAAGAATTCATGAATGGACGGTTGATCAAGAGTTTTGACAAAGATTTCAGGACCATAAAAATAAAGGCGAGTAATTTAATTTGGCATGTGGTGCTTCACGCGAAATTACATGATAATAAACTAATTTTACATTCCTAAGAGTTATCTCCCGTTGTCGGCGTAACGCTCATTTTTCCCACTTTGTCCTTTGTAAGTTAGTCCTGTTAATATTTTTAAATGTCAAAGTTTATGTTACAATATCAATCTTTACCTGTATTGCCAGAGTATGGGGCAATATGAAAAACATTATGAGCTTATTCAAATAGATTTTATTTCTAGGATACTGACCCATAAAGTTGGTAAGGTTATAGAAGGTAAACGGCGTCTTACGTCGGTTGACCCCGGATTGACCCCGCAAAGGGGAATAAGTTTTGTAAATGTGAATGTCGTCTATTTATTCCACACTTATATTTAGGAAGCTGAAGTAGATTTGAGAGTTATTAATATAACTTATACTTTGTACATGTACATCACAGCAACAGCATACAATGTGAACTATGAAAGCTCAGTAGCACCAACTGTTCAAAAGTCATGACAAAGGTTTGAGTTTGCTATTTCTAGGTCACTGAGTTTACTCTGGTGACCTACATGTATTGCTATCTGTTCCGTCCGTCGTTGTGCACCGTTCATTTAAGGAATAACTGTCTTATTTTTCGAATTCATGAAGTGATCAATGGATTGGCTTGTGTGATAATTTGCATAAACGCCGAAGGCGTTTATGTATTATCACACAAGCCAATCCATTGATCATCTTCATTTCGAAAAATAAGTTATTCCTTATATTTACATGCTTTGATTCCGCCAATCCACGGACTCCAAGCCTGCTTCTCTCTAGGTGTTGTCCCGCCCTGCACGTGGTTTTTTTTGGAACCGCGCCAAAACATGAGGAAATCAATTACATTTACAATTGGTAATTTTATCTCGGACAAAGACATTGGAAATGTAAATATTGTATGTTAACATTTAAGTATTCTCAGCTTCTTCTCTGAACTCACTAAACCAATTTCAACCAATGTTAGCATATGGCATTTATAAAAGAGGGGGAGTAAAAGTTGTGTATTTCATGGCCCCTGCCCCCTTGGGACCTGAGTTGTGGGGCCAAAATCACTAAAATAAATGCAATCTTTAAAAATCTTCTTCATTTTTACTCCTGAACATCAGGCAACAAAACTATATTGTAATTAGCATTTAGCCATGTCTACCAAAACTGTGAAATTCATGATCCCAGGGTCAGGAGTTCTAGTGCTAGGATGGGGCTCTAATGATAAGATTATAACGTGAAAATACATTAATTCTTTGAAAATCTTTTCCTCTGCCCCAGGATATTATGAAAACAAACTAAATGCATAGTTATGAGGAGGAAGGTTGTCTCAATCTAAATTGTGAATTTTATGGCCTCTGGGTCATGGACTCTAGTGTTAATGTGGGGCATTATTGATTATTATACTTTCATGTTAAATACTAAAATCTGATTGGTTTAGACGCAGTTAACAATCTGTTCTATTACCCTCAGCCTTAGCAACACACGTGACAACAGGTAACACAATGGCAATGCCACATGCGTGGAAATTATGTGCGTATGGTTCACCGTAGAATTCTCAAAACGTCAGTTGCACGTTTGAAAGAACCGGAATAAACTTGACTTCAATAAAAGCTTGCGTCTGATGTAGCTTACTTGAAAACAACAAACGACAGACGAAACATGCTTGCGAGTGCAGAAATAACAAAACTTTAGATGATAAAGGACTTGTAGAGTATCAAATAAACAATAAAGAGGTCAATAAATCTTTTTCAAAGTAGCGGGGAGTTTGAAAGCTTTCTAAACGTGAACGAAAAGGCGATCGACGATTTTTATTGCTAGTAAATCAAGAAGAAATTCAGTATAATAAAATAAATGGTGCCTGTTTTGGAGGGTAACAGTTGAAATTGACACCCCTCGGAAAACCATTGTCAACCTCCGCTGACGCGTCGGTTGACAATGGTTTTCTTTGGGGTGTCAATTTCAACTGTTACCCTCCAAAACAGGCACCATTTATATATTATATACTGACATTCAAAAGAAACGCTACACCCTCATTTTGGGGGGAAGATTACCGAAAAAGTTAGGAAATCTTTAACTTCGCAAAATCAGTTATTTAACGGTTGAATGATTTTCATTCCATTACCGGAAGTTGCAATTTAGCCCAGTCTCAACAAAAATCAAAATTTGTATCCTTGGGTATAAGTATAAAATCTAAATTGTTAAAATCATGACCCCGGGTGGTAGGGCTGGTCCCCAATAGGGAATCCAAGTTTTACATTGACATATAATGATAGGAAAATTCTTTAAAAATCTTCTTCTAAAGAACCACTGGGCCAGGAAAGCTGAAACTTATGTGGAAGTATCTTGGGGTAGTGTAGATGCTGAAGTATTAAAATCATGTCAGGGGTGGGGAGTAGGGGACCACAAAAGGTATAACAAAAGGGGAAATCTTGTAAAAAAAAAAATACCTACATCACCCAAGTTACTCAGGTGAATGATGTGGCCCATGGGCCTTTTGTTACAGTATACTATGAACTTGAAAAAATACAAATATGGGAATCAATAAATGCCAGCAATGAACCTGATTAATTGGATAAACAAAAGAAAAGATTAAAGTATACGAGGGGCGTTCAATAAATAATGTCATTGGGGCTCAGAAAGAAGCGAACGACGCTTTTCAATGAATTAATCTTCATGATTTTACTTATTAATCTCTTTTAATTCAAACACATGTCCGTAACATTTTTTATCCAATTTCTGATTGTTTTTAGAACTCATTTTTGAGTATGACCCTTAGTATACTGGAAAATCGCAGATCCCATGATTTCCTGGACTTGTTTTTTCCTTCTTAAAGGTGTTTTTTCAAGTTTGGAAATAGAAACAAGTCAAAAGGTCAAAGATCTGGCAAATATTGTTAATGTGAAAAAACATTAAGTTTCTGTTTATCCCGAAAACCCCTTTACTCTTTAGGGCATGCGGGTTTGAATGCTGTCATGAAAAGATTCAATGTAGTGGATTCCTGATTCTGGGTCCTTTCTCTGATAAACCTTTCAAATTCTTTGCAAAAAACTGCTTTCTAGACACCTCCAGATATTAAACTGTCTCCCCGAATACAAATTTGAACAACAATACCACTAATATTTAAAAAAATTGCATATAAATCTGTCTTTGTGCTCTTGCAAACCTTTGCTCTTGACAGACCTTCGCCGTTTTTATCAAGTGCATCTTATGTTAAATTTTGTTTTCATGGTTTTAAGCAATAGATTCATGTTCCAATATCTATTTGAATATAAAACAAACGTTGATTACTACAATTACTGATATTTTAAAATAATTGTTAAGACTTTTGTACACGCTGTCGTTTTCACTCATTTTTCAAAATACAGAGTGACCTTAGAGTACCAAGCTTAATTACTGTCAAACGTTTCTTAAAAACAGTGTAAACTACTCCCGATATGATGTCTATCAAATTTGCTATGTGTCTTATAGTCAATCATACACCATCAAATATTATTTGTTGAAATTTGGCATACAGTACATAAGTTGTTATAATTTTTGTTGGCAAGGAGGGTACCCATTTTTGATGCCCATTATATAATTTTTTATCATTGAAATCCACCTGCTCATTTGTCTATAAAACAGGCATCGGTTGCTGTAAATGTCACATATTTCAGTGAAAATTTCTTTTGGATTTTTAACAAGTTTTACAGCAGCTTTAATGTAGCTTTTATTTTCACTCCAGTTTAATGATTCTTTACCATTCATTTATAATGCAGTGTCTCGAATAGCCCTTGTTTCCCAGCTTCTCACGATAAAACTATGTGATGAAAAGTGGTCACATAAACTGTTATAAATTCATTAAAGATTCAATTATGAGAGAAAGTCAAGCTTTATGTCATATGACTACTATGTTGTATGTCATCGAGCTAATGACATTATTTATTGAACGCCCCTCGTAGACAAGTTTGTAAATTTCTTCAAATATTAAATATATACACTCTAGATTGACATAACCATTTTTTTTTTACTTATCAAGGATTCAGACCTCCCAATCTTTAGATCAGGATGATCCATTGGAGAATCAGCTTCCTAAGGAAAGGAATGGTACAGCAAGCAGTCCAAGTGTTAACAGCTTCATAAAAGTAAACTATCATCTTGTAGTTTTCATGCTTTTTTAAAATTTCATGTATATTAACAAAATAATGCATATGAATTGTACATGTATGAAATTAGCATTTAGTGTGTATTTTTTTGTATATCTTGATACAATAGACCAATTCGAGCACTGTCATGAAGGAGCCCCCATTGGAAATACAGATGTGTCCAATGCCAGACAGTATGGCTCATGATCTAAATATGCATGCTAGATCATCATCAAGTCAGGACTTTGCTCAGGTTGAGAAGTATGAAGCCCCAAAAAGTAAGACTAAATCTAGCTATCTGTATTTTTTATAATCATAAAACTTATCACATTCATAATGAATGATTGATAAAGTATTAATTTATATCTATCTTTTGAAGGTATAATTAAACAAGTATTAAAAAGCTTTAAAAATCAATCTTTAGGCATATACATAAACATGTAGGCCTTTAAAGAAAAGAGATCAATTAAATATAATGTTCTTTGAATTTCATATTCATATATTTAGGGAATGTACCGCGTTCAAAACTATGTTTGAATTGGTTTTCAATTTCAGTTACTGAGAAATATGAAATTGATTGCATAAAAAGTCTCCTGATCTAGTATTCATTAAATTAATTATACAAGAAAACTGTAAGTCATTGTTAAATTGACTCACTTATTTATCTAAGTTTTATAAAATTTTAGGCAAAACCTTCACACGCAGGAAGGTCAAAGACCTTAAGAAAGAAAACATCAGGTATGTAATGTAGACATGTTTTGATATACATGTATCATATTTTTTATATGAATAATTTGATTGATATTGATGATAACTATGCAGGTGTATCAATATTTTTTAATCTTGACCTCTCCTGTGACCTTGACCTGACTTTTTGAGAAATTATTGTTTAGTCCAATTTTCACATACATTTATTTTATTTTTATGAAACTTTATATGCTGATACATACTGATGAGAGCTATTCAACTGCATCAACATTTTTGACCTCAACCTTTCTTTTGACTTTGAAATCACTTTTCTTAAATTAGTTTCAACTCCATATGCTGATACATACTTATATAAGCTATTCAACTGTGAAAACTTTTTTATGACCTTGACCTTTCCTTTACCTCACTTTTTTCAGTTTGTGTTTAAGCTAATATAAAAGAAACCATTCATAATACCATATAAGTAGAATTTTTAGTGAGGATTTAATTTTGGCATTATTAGCGAGGGTGCTAGCATCACTAAAATTGAATATCCCTAATACTAATTGCGTATTATTTGTAATAGCTTCTTTAGTAAGCATTTTAAAATCGCTAAAAATTAACTTAAAAATACAATATCAGATTTTAGCGTCTCACTAAAATTTCCACTTATACGATATTTTATCAAACTTCATATGCTAATGCATACTGATGTAAGCTTTTTAATTGCATCAGTATGCATTAGTATGCATTAGGTTGACCTTTCATTTGACATTGACTTTACTTTTCTCATAATTATTTGTGTTTGACTCAGTTTTGAAGAAACCATTCATAATATTTTCCTAAACTTCATAGGCTAATATATATACTGATATAAGCTTTTCAACTGCATCAGCATTTATTGACCTTGACCTCTACTTTGACCTTAACTTTATAAAATTAGTGTCTAGCTCAGTTTTAGATACACCACACAAAATATTTAGTATGGGAACAGTACCATTTTATGGAGTTATCAATTGATTAATTTATTGGTTAATTTGTTGACCACCCAATCTTCTTAAATGTTATCCTCTCAGGGCTCGCTATAGTCATGATTTTTTAAAATAAATCTTACAATACCCTTTACATCTAATAGGTAATAAAAATAAAATTTTAAAAATCAAGAGTAGAAAAATGCCAGAAAAGCATTAACATATACATGATAAAAGAAGTTAATTATTTTCTTTATTCTTTTCAAGCATTTCCTTCCATTGCTTAGTACAGGTTAAAATGTCACTCAAAGGGCTGGGATGATAACTTTTTCTTTATCAGCATGTATCACAATATTTGAGCCATGATCAATATGTATCACTATATAATTACATGTATATGTTTAATTGGTAATAAAATCTTTTTGTTTTTAGCTCACCTGAGCCGAAGGCTCAAGTGAGCTTTTCTGATCACATTGTGTCCGTCGTCCGTCCGTCCGTCTGTCCGTCCGTAAACTTTTCACATTTTCGACTTCTTCTCAAGAACCACTGGGCCAATTTTGACCAAACTTGGTAAAAAGCTCCTTGGGTGAAGGGGAATTTAAATTGTTAAAATGAAGGGACGTTTCCCTCGCAAGGGGAGATAATCAAGAAAAGACAAAAATAGGGTGGGGTCATTAAAAAATCTTCTTCTCAAGAACCACTGGGCCAGAAAAGCTGAAACTTATGTGGAAGCATCCTGGGGTAGCGTAGATTCTAAATTGTTCAAATCATAACCCCCGGGGATTGGGCGGGGCCACAATGGGGAATCAAAATTTTACATAGAAATATATAGGAAAAATCTTTGAAAATCTTCTTCTCAAGAACCACTGTGCCAGAAAAGCTGAAACTTATATGGAAGCATCCTCAGGTAGTGTAGATTCAAGTTTGTTCAAATCATAACCCCCGGGGGTTGGGCGGGGCCACAATGGGGAATCAAAGTTTTACATAGAAATATATAGGAAACATCTTTGAAAATCTTCTTCTCAAGAACCACTGGGCCAGAAAAGCTTAAACTTATGTGGAAGGATCCTGGGGTAGTGTAGATTCCAAATTGTTCAAATCATGACCCCTGGGGATTGGGCGGGGCCACAATGGGGAATCAAAGTTTTACATAGAAATATATAGGAAAAATCTTTGAAAATCTTCTTCTCAAGAACCACTGTGCCTGAAAAGCTGAAACTTATGTGGAAGCATCCCGGGGTAGTGTAGATTCTAAATTGTTCAAATCATGACCTCCGGGGATTGGGCGGGGCCACAATAGGGAATTACCAACTTTTACATAGAAATATATAGGAAAAATCTTTGAAAATCTTCTTCTCAAGAACCACTGTGCCAGAAAAGCTGAAACTTATGTGGAAGCATCCTGGGATAGTGAAGATTTTAAATTATACAAATCATGACCCCCGGGGGTTGGGCGGGGCCACAATGGGGAATCAAAGTTTTACATAGAAATATATAGGAAAAATCTTTGAAAATCTTCTTCTCAAGAACCACTGTGCCAGAAAAGCTGAAACTTATGTGGAAGCATCCTGGGGTAGTGTAATATTCTTAAATTGTTCAAATCATGACCCCTGGGGATTGGGCGGGGCCACAATGGGGAATCAAAGTTTTACATAGAAATATATAGGAAAAATCTTTGAAAATCTTCTTAATAACAACTGGGCCAGAAAAGTTGAAACTTATATGGAAGCATCCTGGGGTAGTGTAGATTTCAAATTGTCTAAATTATGATCAGTGGGGTAGGGTGGGGTCACAATATGTATTACAAGGGGTAAATCTAGTAAAGGACAGAATTGTCAAAGCTTCTCAGGTGAGCGATGTGGCCCATGTGCCTCTTGTTTTCTTTGCATTGTTTTAAAAATATTTCTAAAGCAAATAAAAATATTTTATTCAAAGTATTGTTCATATTTTGTAAAACAAAAATGTTTTAGTCAAGAAAAACAGAAGTAAGAATTTTTGGGGTGATATTTCTTCATACGTATTAATATGTGTTAAATTGTCCTCGCACAGAATCGATATTATCAATATCTTAATACATCATTCCAGCCCTAAATGCTATGGAGTATTTCTATTATTTGATGTTTTTTTTTGTCGTTTGTATTGGTTGTTTTCTTGTTTAATTTGCTTTGCCTTGAAGTCTTTATTCCCTCGCTTATTTCATTTGGATAAGGTATGTATAACTTTTTTACTTGTTCTATAAAGGTCATGCATATTTACTTTTCAGCATACAGTAAAACTTGTATAATTTGGATACTATAACTTTCTTGTCTTTTATCATGACAAGCTCTTAGTTGCTCTGACTAAATTTAATTAATAAACATAGTTGATTACAGAGCTCACCTCAACGAATGTTTGTCTTTAATTAATACAAAGTCCCACATTAGTGGTGCATATAGGCCTGATAGTGTGCATCCCTAGATGTATTATCCATGCAAGTTTGGTCAACATAGTGCTTATAGTTACTTTTGTCAAAAAATTAAACCTGTTCACTCATCCAGAAAATGTAGGTCAGATTCAGCATCTGAAGCATACTTGGTAGTATGATTCCTTAGATGTATCGCATGCAAGATTGCTCAAAATAGGACTTATAGGATTAAAACCAAACTTACCTGAAAATAAAACATGTAAAAGTAATAAAAGCTCTGCTAAACATAAAAAGAAATGGTTTGATAATGAGTTGATAAATATGCGCTCAAAACTAGTTAGGAAGGGAACTTTATTTGGCCACTACCCAAGAGATATCAATATTAAGAATCAATATTACAAAGCATATAGAATATATAACAAACTACGAAAACAAAAATTTAGAACATACCATTCTAATATTATCAACAACCTAAATGCTTTAGATTCAACTGATCCAAAAAAATATTGGAAACTTATAGGCGAATTAAGAACTGGAAATACAAAGACAATTGATACATCAATCTCTAATAATGAGTGGTTAAACCACTTCAAAAAATTGAATAAAACTCATGAGGATTTCCTCGATCGAGATCAGTTTCTTAAAGACCAACTAAAACAAGCTGAGAAAACAACAACGCCCATATTTAATGAACTTGACTACAAAATATCTTTCAATGATATAAGTAAAGCAATAGGTAAACTTAAAAATGGTAAGGCAGCTGGTACTGATAGAATATGTAATGAAATGCTTAAACATGGTCAAACGGTCTTGGTACCAATATTACTGAAAATCTTTAATGGTTGCTTAACTCATGGATATTATCCTTCTTCATGGTGTGAAGGATACATTACTCCAGTATACAAATCTAACAACACTAATGATCCCAACAATTATAGAGGAATCACAATAACCAGCTCAATCGGCAAACTGTTTAACTATATTCTTAACTCAAGATTAGATAAATATTTAAAATGCAATGATAAAATCAATCCTTGTCAAATAGGATTTACAAAACAAGCTAGAACTTCAGATCATGTTTTTGTCTTGAAAACACTTGTTGAAAAATACTGCAAATCAAAACAAGGGAAGCTATATGCTTGCTTTGTTGACTTTCATAAGGCCTTCGATAGTATAAACCATGCTGGTCTGAAGCTTAAACTACTAAAAGCTTGTATTAGCACTAAATTTTACTCAATTGTTAAGGATATGTATTCTTAAAGCTATTCTTCTATTAAACTGGGTAACAAATTAATCGGTCATTTCCGTACTTACAATGGGGTTAGACAAGGTGATAACATGAGCCCAAATCTATTCAAGATTTATCTCAATGATCTATCAAATTATCTGTCAAATTCTAAAAGTTTTGTAAAATTAAACAATGATTCATCTATGTCCATTCATTGGCTAATGTATGCTGATGACATGGTACTTCTCTCCCCAACTGCTGAAGGTCTACAAGAAAAACTCGATATACTAAGTAAATACTGTAAGGACTGGTGTCTCAAAGTTAATACAAAGAAAACAAAAATTATAGTCTTCAATTCATCTGGTAAACACGTTAAAATTCCCTTCCATCTGGATAACAACAATATTGAATGTGTTAAACAATACAAATATCTGGGTCTGACTGTTCATGCATCTGGAACACTAAGTAATGCTAAAAATGATTGTTGTAACAAAGCCAAAAAAGCCTATTTCAAACTTCAAAAAGACTTTCTCACATTTAATCCATCAATTAGAACTGCTTTAAATGTATTTGACCACACTATTAAACCCATTATCCTGTATGGTTCGGAGTTATGGGGTTTTTTTGACCCAACAACCTCTAAATTTAAGAGAAATCCAAATATAACACTAGACAAAATATACCAAAGCTTAGAAGGCGAAATTCTAAATCTTAAATTTTACAAACATTTACTAATGGTTCATGGTAAAAGCAGCAATTTTGCTGTAAGATCTGAGCTAGGACGTTCGAATTTATATTTTGATGTCATTAAAAATATGTTGTTATACTGGCATAGATTAGAGAATCTAGATGGTGAATTTCCCTTGCTTAGTGAGGCTTTTAACTGCTCTAAAACACTACACCAAAATGGTTTTACTTCATGGTATTCTTGTGTTAACTTCTTACTTAACCATATTGATATTAAAATTAGTGATTTCCTAGGTATGTCAACCCCACAATTTAAAATCAATTTGAAAAGAATATTACTGAATTTCTATAAATTAACATGGGAAAAAGACAGGAATTTACATAAAGATGGCAAATTGTCTACCTTTACCAGCATAAAGACTAAATTTTGTTTTGAACCTTATCTAGATATTCTTACAAACAATCAACATAGATCAGTTTTAACAAAGTTAAGAATATCGGCTCACAGGCTTAAAATTGAAATTGGACGTTACCAAAAAATACCTAGAGAGGAACGAATTTGTTCACTTTGTCATCACAACGAGATTCAGGATGAAATTCATTTTCTCCTTGTATGTCCTCATCTTAATGTACAAAGACTTGAACTCATAAATATTTGTAAAATTAAATGTAAAAATTTTCAGTCTCTATCTTATGATAATCAATTTTATTGGCTCATGACTAATGAAGACCCAGACATCCTTAGATCACTTGCTGGATTCCTTAGTAATTTGCCTTAATTGAAGATATTGTGATAAGCATAAAAAATTATATACCTCTTTCCCAGTTTCTTGCCTTTAACTATATATATATATATATGTATAAATTATATATTTGTATGTAACTTACAATACGATACATGTATGTATATTCAGTATATCTCTTATATACTTTTTTTTTTTTTTTTTTTGTTTTTTTTTTTAACAATTGCTCTTTATTTGTAATATCATCATCATGCTTGTTCTATCATTTGGATCCTCCTCCTTCTATTTGTAAATCTTTTTGCTCCTCCGGGGGCCCAAATTGGATTAATAAAATCTTGTATCTTGTATCTTATACATGTAGTTACTTAGAAATCAGATCTGCTCCCAAAACTCTAATCTATTCACTCATCTGGCAAATGTAGGTAAGATTCAGCATCTGAAACATGCTTGGAAGTATGCATCCTTAGATGTATCATCCATGCATTAAGTCTGGTCAATATAGGGATTTAGTTATTTGGAAATGAGACCTCCACCCAAAATTTTAACCTGCATGTTCACTCATCTTGAAAATGTTGGTCAGATCATGCATCTAAAGCAAGTCTTTGTAGAATACATCCTTTGATGTATATCTTATCCATTTGGTCATCATAGGGCTTATAGTTACATGTACAGTGTACTTGGAAATGAGACCTACCCCCAGAACTGCACCAAAAAATGTAACCCTGCTCCAAATATCTTAACCTCATGGTCATTCCCTAGATGAAACTGCAGCATCTGAAACCTTGACTTGTACAATGAAACTGATTAGAAGCATCGTGGATGCATATCTGATCAATGTAGGGCATAGAGGTATTGAAAAAAAACTGCTCCAAAAACCTTAACCACAAATAACCTGGACCGCCGACGCCGAGGGTAGCCCCCCCCCCCCCTCCCCCTCCCATCTTCGTTGAGGTGAGCTAAAAACTGCCTTGTCCTGAATTTTTTCTCTGATCCAGCCAACATAACAACATAAGCGATGTCCGGATTGTAGAAAGTTTTACTGTATATATACATATAGAGTAATACATGTATTATGATATTTTGTGTTAACGCTTGTCACATCGTAGTTAATAAGATATAACGTAGTTGATAAAAATAATGTTCACATGCTTTAATTAACACGTTTTTAGCATTGTTTTCATTAACTTGTTTATGTTATACGCTGTAAATTTAAAATTTAATTTTTGTTTATCTTAAAGTTATACATTTATGTTGTATGTGAGCTTTAAAAAAAACGAGATTCTACAGTTAAATTGACTTCAAACTGTGTCTGTTATTTAATTCCGATCCAGAAATAATTCGGTTATTGTTTAAAATCTGTGATATATGCATCTTTGAACGCGATTGATTTAAACTGTGTAAGAGGTGCTAACAATAGCATTATTCTCTTATTTGGAAAAACAAAGAAACTATTTTCAACACCCTTCCCCCTCCCCGTGTAACAAAAATTCCTTTTTTGCAGGTAATATGGACGTTTTAGTCATTCAGGGAGGGGGCATAGACAAAAAATGACAGAAATAGTTATTTCTCAGCAATTTTAAGGAGGTTTACAACTAAAACATTGATATATATGCATCTTTCATTTTAAGTTTGTCGATTCTATAGCTACAGTCTTTGGCGATATATAATTTGGGACTTGGTATTCATGATAAAGTCATTGTAAGACCACGTATTAAATTAGTAAACACTTGTCCATTGACCTAAATTCTAATTTTATTCATTCCCATTTATCATCTTAAAATCCAATACTTCTTACATTAACATGTTTGTATTTTTTCTTTGCAGGAGGACTGGAAGAAAAATTCCGAAGGATTCCCCCATTCGACAGCTATCATCCTTGAATTTTTAATTTTCTGTAATTCTGCAATCATTATTTGTTTGTTTAATAAGTGTTAAATGTAGTTTTAGTATTCTGTTTTATTCTGTTCGTCAGGGGTTTTTAATCTAGCATTATTTTTAATTTCTTAAAATTGAAGTAATAATTGAGAACAAGAATTAGAATTTTCTTGTGAATAAAGTTTTTTGCAAGTAATCTTTTTCTTATTTTAAATTACTCGACGTTGGTATATCTTTGTTTTGAAAAAATAAAAAAAGAATTTTAAAATGTTTTTGAAGACGTCTAAAAATGAAACATATGAAGCTAACGAACAGTATTCAAAATTCCATAATACAATACAAAATAGGAGCAGAGCAAACACGGACTTCAAATCAGAGGTGGGATCAGGTGCCATAGATGAGGTGAACATCCCCTGCTGACCGGTCACACCTACCGTGTGCTCCTTGTCATGATCGGGAAATAACAGAGAAATCCGTCATCAAGTCTGATCGTATATAAATAAAGGAATAACAATTAGTATGAAAACGTCAGTCAACATTTGACTCAATGATAAATTGTATTTGCAAAGGTGTTTGGAATGTGCAAATATTGATTTATGACCCTGATATTTTAATCTCAAAATCAAAAGGGTCTTCTTTAGGCTATACGGAGTTTTAAAATAAATATGATAAAAGTTCACTGGAAAATAGCTCCTAGGCTTCTTGAAATATTGCCTGGAAACGGAAGCGTAGATACAGACAACTAGAAAGACAGACGAAGGGACAGGCAAATCCAAAGTAACGTCCGCCACTTTCATTGAACGAGGGCATTTAGTCTTTGAATTTATTTTCTCTGCTGTTGCTTTCAAAAAGCTTAAACCTTATAACTCATCCAAAAATGTAGGTCAAATATCAAACATCCGAAGCAAGACTTGTGGTGTGCATCCTTAGAAGTATCATCTATACAAATTATACATGTATGGTAAGTAAATTATATACTAGCATGGCTTATAATTGGAAATGATGCCTGCTTTAATTAAAAACGTGAACTGCTCAAAAAAATTAACCGGCGGGTTTTTATTGTGCTGAAATTACAGCATCATAAAACTTGACTGGTACAATGGAACATACTAGTAGTATTCTAGACGTATATTCTTCTATGCATCTCTCTATACAAAAAAGTTCTGCTCAAAAACTTAAGGATGTACAACACAACCCCCCCACACACACGCACACAAATATTCTGTCGTATAATTTTCGCTATTGTATAATTTTATTTGATACATGATTAAATCCATGCACATTTTAAAGTAAGAGTCGTTTTGGTCAGGAAATTAATATTTGGTTTGCATACTCAACTAATGAAGCTCTTTTTAATGACTCTTAAGTCAATGACCTTGACATCTATGCTAGAAAAGATTTTTCCAACTTTCGCCATAACATTTGAACCATGAAAAATAGAGACTTTATAGTTGGTATGTATACTCCACTAATTAAGCTCTTCCAAATGCTCTCAAGGTCGATGACATTGTGACCTTGACTGTGACCTATATGCTAAAAATAGTTTTTCAAACTTTCGCCCAAAATATTTGACCAAAGGAGATAGAGACTTCATATTTGTTATGCTTATTCCACTAATTATGCTCTTTCAAATGACACCAAAGTCAATGACATTGTGGCCTTGACCTATAAACTAAAATAGCTTTTTAAAACTTTGTTGCCGCCGGGCGTATATAGTATTTCACAAACACATTTTGTTTTTTCAAATATATTAAGAACTCATAAAATTGTAGGATTATAATTCTCAGCAGGGATAATTGTTCTTTCACCATAAATAGATAATTTCTGAACAGGACTGCTGAACATGAATGTCTTATTGTTTTAATTACATACACATTAATTATGATTATACCAGCAAAATAAAATGCTCGAAAATGCAACTCGTTTTGCCTTAAATGTTTAATGTAAGATATATGTCTATGCTTCATACAATTTTATACAGAGGCGCAGTCACAAACCATGGGCGTCGGAAGCAAATCGAAAGTGGCTAATTGAAAGTGTGTGTGTGTGGGGGGGGGGAGCTAAACCGACAAAAACGGTAACCCCAATTTATAATGCCTATTTAATGTATATATTGCAAAAATGGGGGGACTAAGCCCCCCCTGCCGGTTCCGACGCCTATGCAAACGTACTCGGATTGGCTAGGATATATACTTTTCAAAGTACCAGGCGCGGATCTAGTAATTTTCAAAAGGGGGGGGGGGGTGAAGGATTTTTCAAAAAGGGACTGAAAGGGAAACGTTATTATGACGATCGTTTAACACATAAATGTATATACCTCCACTAAAAGTGGGAGGGTATATAGTAATCAGTATGTCCGTAAGCCTGTTCGTCCGTTCAACTGTTCCGCTTTGGGGTACTCATCTCTCTACTCCTCTTACACCACAGAATGAAATTTTCACAGAATCTTTATTACATATTGCCATTGTGCACCTCCTATTTTACTTTTTGATCCGACAGATATTTCTGGTTTCCCACAGCAAAACATGGACACTGCCATTATATTCATATGGAGGGCGGGGTATCATTTATTAAACTAGATCTAGAGGTACTGTGAGCAACGAGCTCATTAAATAATACCCCGCCTCCCATATGATTATAATGACAAAGTCCCGCTTTGCTTTTTGAGACCCGAAATATGTGTTAGATCAAAAAGTAAAATACTAGTAAGAGGTGCATAATGGAATTATGAAATAAGAAACATGTGAAAGTATCATTTTAAACAATCTTATTCAGTGGTATAAGAGGAGTTGCGGATATAAGAGATTGGTACCCTTCGGTATAATATACACTTATCCACTGGCTGTGAGTTGGATAGCTCTTTTATCAAACCCGCGACAGGAACTATTCCCCGAGGGCTTGCCCGAGGGGAATAGTTCCTGTCAAGGGTTTGATAAAAGAGCTATACTACTCACAACCAGTGGATAAGCGTTTTATTATACTGATGTATAATATAATTTCTATGGTTTGAATTTTTTGGGAGTAAGATAATACTGCAAGAATAATCTGAAATCCTGATGACGTTACAATGCTACTGAAATCATTATGACATCATCAGTCAATAAATTTATTGCTGGAAATCAAAATTGGAGGCAAAAATTGCATGAAAATTCTCCGAGGATGGATAGCAAAAACTATACCCCGGGGTATAGCTTTGCTATGCCTGAACTATAAAAGATAGCTATTTTACCTTCTTAACTTTATCATGTTTATATAGGAAACATTTTAACAGAAGTATAATAATAGAAACTAGAGGCACTGTGAGCAATGAGCTCACTTAATGATATCCCCACCTCCCATATGAATATAATGGCAGTGCCCATGTTTTGCTATGGCTATTGGGAACCCAAAATGAGTGTCGGAAAGTAAAAGTAAAATAGGAAGTGCACAATGGCAATATGTTATTTTTTTAAAGTTTCAGTGAAAGTCTCATCAAATTACATTCAGTGGTATAAAAGGATTTGCGGATAAGAGATGCATGGGTACCTCAAAGCGTAACAGACAAACGGACGGACATACTGATTACCATATATACCCCCCCACACACACACACACTTTTCAAGCGGGGGTATAATAACTCAATTGGATACCGGCCGGCGGGTGGTGTATGGTCTTTAATAGTGGGAGGTTGATCAACCAGGTAAAAAGTATTTGAATGGATTACATGTACCTGAAAGTTTTTGAAAAGGAAGCCCGTTGGTGCCACGTACGAAAAATATTTTATCTGGCGGCCGCCACTTATCATTTGTCGGTCGCCACTTAATATTTGGCGTCCGCCACATAATTTATATGGCGGCTGCCACTTCCCAGATAGCAAGACTATGTTGGGCCAACATTGGTAAAAGGTTGTATGGTTGGCGTTTGGGGAACAACGTTGGGCCAACGTTGGACCAATGTCACCATGCCAACCTTCTCGACCATGACAGAATTCCTATGTTGGCCCAACGTTGGTCCAACGTTAGCAACTTCCATTCACTTTACTTCCCAAGGAAGGAGGGCTGTTGATGTTGGCCCACTCTTAAAGAAAGTGTCTTTTAAAGTTGGTAGTAGTATGTTGGCCCAACGTTGGCCCGATATTTGTAATACAACCTTAAAGAAAGTGTCTTTTAAAGTTGGTAGTAGTATGTTGGCCCAACGTTGGCCAGATGTTTGTAATACACCCTTAAAGAAAGTGTCTTTTAAAGTTGGTAGTAGTATGTTGGCCCAACGTTGGCCCAATGTTTGTAATACACCCTTAAAGAAAGTGTCTTTTAAAGTTGGTAGTAGTATGTTGGCCCAAAGTTGGCCCGATGTTTGTTATACACCCATAAAGAATGCGTCTTATCAAGTTGATAGTAGTATGTTGGCCTAACGTTGGCCAAATGTTTGTAATACATCCTTAATAAAGAGTCTTATCAAATTGGTAGTAGTATGTTGGCCCAACGTTGGCCCAATGTTTGTTATACACCCTTAAAGAAAGTGTCTTATTAAATGGGTAGTAGTATATTGGCCCAATGTTTGTAATACACCCTCAAAAATGTCTTATCAATTTGGTAGTACATTGTAGTATGTTGGTCCGATGATAGCACGAGTGTTCTTTTGTTTAGGTGTTTCAAAGATGGGATATTTATATTGGGCCAACGCTGGCCCAATTATTATACTGCCAACTAAAGATGGTGTCAATTTTAGCTGCTGAGCTGACATTCTATGTCCTGCTTTTAATTGGATGACTGTTTTTGTTTAGATCTGATATATTCAACATTTTAAATTTTAACTTAAGTGATCACAGCACCAAAGAGTGTTTTATTATATTTTTTGAACTGTTTACATGCATGATTATTTATTTGAAATAAAACCCTTGAAATTATGAATTTTTTCATGAGCGTTGTATTCATGAGAATTTAGAGAAGACTGAATACTTTCTCAGGAACAGGATGTGAATGAAGCCTACATATACATAAATCAAAATGACACAGCTTTATAAATAAATTGAAACAAAAGTTCGGCGTTCGCTATCACGTGACTAAACTGTGGAGTGAGCTGTCAGATTCAATTGCTCACAGGTGGTGATAATGCAGGGCAAGCAAGAAGAAGTGAAATTTAAATTTGTGGATTATACACTTGCTA